TTAGTCCATTTTCTCTTGGTGTTTTATAGTAGAGATTGGAACCATCTAGTTATTGTTATCCTTTCTTCTTATGTCACTCTAAAAATCTTTGAAAAATATTTGTTCTGAAATTGTTGTCCACATGAACAGTTATAGCTCTTAAAGTTTTTTCACAGGTATAATTTCCTAGCTTTAATAATAATAACAACAATTAAAATAGTAATTATTGTCTATTTAATCTATAATATTTCAGATAGATGTCAGGCAATGAATAGGAACTTTAGTAATTATTGAGAGTCTACTATATACTAGGTGTTTTGTATATTTTATTTCACTTATTTTTATAGTAGCTCTTTGGGGGAACTGCTATTATGTCAATTTCATTGGTGAGGGAATTGAGGCTTAGAGAGAGAAGATAAGTAAGTTTTCCAAGGCTACATAATTAATAAGTGTCAGATCCAGAATTTGGACATGGAGTTCGCTGTCTCCATGGGCCGTCATGATACCCATTGTACATGATGTGCTCCCATCCAGGACTTCTGATGGCGATCCCAACGATTATAGAGCTGAGCTGCCTTGCCCAGTGTGGCAGCCATTAGCCATATACACCTATTTAAATTAAAATTAACAAAATTCAATTCAATTAAAAATTCAGTTCCTCAGTTACACATTTTAAGCTCTCAATAACCACATGTGGCTAGTGGCTACTGTATTGGACTTCACAGACAGAGAACATTTTCATCATCACAGAGTCCTCATGCGCTATGCTGTTCTAGAGTTTCAAGTTAACTCTAATTTCAACTACCTATATTTACAATTAAACTTTCTTTTAGGATCAGTTTATGTCCTTGGAAATTGATGTTGCCCATATCTGCAGGAGTAAGGGCAGTGCAAGGCTGTGCAAGGTGTGTGGCCTCTGCCAAAATTGTTTCCTCTCTTGCTTTTCTTCTGCCTAAAAGATAAGGTGAGAGGGAGGGGCAGGGAAAAGGAGACAGAGCAGTGGCTGTGTTAGCTCGCTCATCATGCCAACGCCATTTTAAATGGCCTCTTTGAGACTTACTGGAAAGATTTCTTGCGCCTTAATTTCTTTTCTCAAGGTCCTCCTTAAAATTCATTGCCTCCTCTTTTTTTTTTTTTTTTTTTTTTTTAGCTGAGCCATCCTGCTACCTGTTGGCAGCTCAGCGGCTGCTCAGCTCGGGCTGGACTTGAACCGCTGTTGCTCAGAGCTCAAACTCTTGAGTGAGCTCTTAACCAACTGAGCCACTCGGCCGGCCCTCATTGCCTCCTCTTATATTATCTGGCATAGGAGCTTTATGTTCCTTTTCACATAAACTCTCTCAGTGCCTTTTTAAAAAAAACATTAGTTTGTCATCCTGCTTCTCTACCTGTGGTCTGTACACAGATCTCAAACATTTTCATCCACTTTCTGATTGATAGGCTCTTGTATTTAGTCTGATCTTAGTAACGATGATCTAAAGTATGTCTTAACCCAAAAGTAAATTGGTTTCCGATGACTGTTAGCTAAATGTCTAAGGATTAAAAAATTTTTTTTCAAACTTATTTTTTATTTCATTCACAATTTATTTGTGATTTTTGAAATGCAAGAATCTTTAAAATGAAACAAGAAATGTACTTGTTAGTAGTGATAAAATATTTGGCAGTGATTTTAAGTTTAGAATCCTTGCTGGTCTGTTTTTGCTTAGTACTTTTATTCCTAATTAAGCTAGCACTTAAATAGGAAATAGACATTGGAAGTATTCCACTGAACTTTCATTTCACAACTAGATGTCAGTGTTAACATACCCAATTAGATGTCTCAGGTGTGAGTTCAGTGAGGTAATTCAAATAATCACTCACCTGTATGAGATGCAGATCAGAAAATAAATGGTAAAGAAGGAAAAGAAAAAAAGAAATAAGCTACTTTCCCTGTTTCAAGGGCTGTTTACTTCTATATTTACCTTTTAAAAAATATTTATTTTTCCCTACCTTAATAACTATGCATGAACAATTGAACTTTCTGATTTGTTTGATTAGGAAAGACAGGTAGAATATGAGCTTGTACCTTTGCACTATTACCAACCAGAGGTTCTTCCCTATAACTTTTCCAGAAAGAGTGATCAGAAAAAGAAGGAGCATTATTGCTCTTCAAATGGTGTGTGTGTGTGTGTGCGCGCGTGTGTGTGTGTGTGTGTGTGTTATTTTTGCCTACTTTAATAAGAAACATTTGAGGGCAGGAGTTATGCCTGTATTGTCAGTGACATTTCTAACATCTCACCTAGAAGTCTCTCTTGATAAAACTACATCTGCCCTTTTTAGTTCAGTCTTCGTATAAATGGGAGCATGATACCCCTTATCCTGTCCTTGCAGATGTAATCTGACAGCCTTTTAAAATCATTTGTAATGCATTTCTCTAACTAGAGTGTCTCACCTTTATACCCATGCCCCTTTTGATAAATATGAAATCTGGAATAATAACAAATATGAATAAAATCCAGGTAAAACAATAGATCAAAATACTGAGCACACATCCCCTCCTTCCACCTCCACAAAAATATCCTGATGGGTCTCCTTTCCCCAGTTCTCTTTCCCTTTTGCGAATTCATACTCCTGGATCAATGAAGTGATGGAGCTCTTTTAGGCAAAATTCTATTGAATTGTATTCACTTTGATATTTTTAGTTTTCAAATTATGTGTATGCAGCTTACTAAAGATTTTTGGAGGCTATAGATTTAAATTGTACGGTGGGAGATATCAAGATAACTTGTCTTTGGAGCTCAGTTTAAGATTTTGACAGAATTGACAGGTTTACTTTTTTAAATTTTTGTATTTTCCTTAGAAACACACCATTACCCCCAAACAATTCTGTTTTGAAAAGCCAAGTTAAATTAGTGTCCGTAATATGTTAGTACATTCATTTCTCATTATGGAAATAACTTTTTAGGTTATGCAGTAGATCCCAATTTTGTAACAGTCTAAAATATGTGCATCTATCAATGCAAACAATGTACTGGTTTACTGACTTCAAAAATCCATTGTTTCCTGAGAAAGAATGTTTAGTTCATCAGTTCTTGGATCACCACATGAAACAATCATTTGGCAGTTGCTTTTTTTCAGTTTTGATGTCTTCCAGGCACATATTACAAGAACATAAAATTAATTATTGATTATAGTTCAGATCCAGCACATTACTGGGTATTCAACCAGCCTGAAAATAGAGAAAAGTCATATTAGCCAACTCCAGGCAGTCCCACTTTGCCACATATACAGTACACTGGAGGTGCAAGTGGGCTACATCATGCAGTGTACAACACATCTTATTAAGCTACAGGATAAAATAGTTCAGTTACATGTATTCAATTCTGAGTGCTTACAATGATTAGTAGTAGCTTGGTTAATCTGCATTGTAACAAGTTTGTGATTTTGCAAAGTGATCTTTATATACTAATTTTGTTTGTTTGTTTAAAAGCCATCTCAATTTATGTTTCAAGATCTCTCTGATGCCTTTGACAAAGATACCTTAAATTTATTTGTACTAAGGCAAGTAACTATTGAATTTAAACTCAATTGGAGGCAGCTACTACCTGGACCTTGAAGTTTCTGAGGACCTGTACACAGGCAGCAGGGTACCTAGGAGAGAGGGGACTCTGGCCAAGTGTCTTGAGCCTAGTAGACACTTAGTATATATTTGGAGGCATTCATGCCCTGTTTTCCCTTTGGCATCTTCTCTTGACCCCAGCGAATGGTTTTGATTGTTTTCTGAATGTGTGTGAGCCTCCCACCTCACCCCATCTTCTGTGACCTGGGCTTTACTTTCAGGTGTCTGTTGCACGAGTGCTAGCTCCTCACATCCTTTTTTTTTTTCCTTCTTTTTTTTTTAATATCAGGACTACCTAAGCTAACTATTAACAGCAAAGGGTTATTAAAAAATAGCTATTTGGAGCTACTATGTACTTTTCTAATATTTTCCCTGATGTTTTCCACAGGAAGTCTCAAATACTTTTATTTTTAAAACTGTTCACATTTTCTCCTGATTTGGGGCAGGGTCTACTCATCATTGGTTTTATGTGTGTTTTGGGAAAGAAGTACAAAGAGGGTGGTAATTGCAAAAAATAACAGCAGCTATGCTTCCTAGTTAAAATTTTGCCTGCTACTTAATGACTATGGTGTCATTTTCTGAATCTGAAAGCATTTTGAAAATGCTTTTCTTTAGTTGCAAGACAGAAGGGCAGTGAAGGTGTATGCCTTTGTAATTATTTCCCTTACTCTTCTCACTTTCTCTCCTGGTCTGTCAAGATTTTTAATTTTTAGTTTGTGAACTTTTTACATTTTACTTTTTACTTCAACTAGTTGTTCATCTCATTAAAAAACTTGTATAAACCTTAAATGGGTGAATTTTGTGGTATGTGAGTTATATCTCAGTAAAGCTGTTATTAAAAAAAAACAAACCAAGCTTATCTAAAACTTAGCAAAACTTACCTAAAAGCTTTTTTTGGTGGAACTGGAAAGCAGCTTTGTATTAACGTTAGAAGGTGAGGAACAAATGGTAGTTATTTATATTGGGTTGTCGGAAAAGTCATGATGCATTTTTGTAACGAAAACCAGAACCAGAAAAAATACGTCATGACTTTTCCGACAACCCAATATAAAGCTGCATGTGATACGGCTTTTAAAGATATACTTCTCTTTCCTATTTTTGGTTAGTTTTAACTTAGGAAAACTTTCTGTTTGACTCATTAAGTGTATATCTTAATGGAGGGAGGAAAGCAAGAGTAAGAGATAATGACTAAAGCATTTAAATCTTATTTTTAGCATTGGAATGCTGTTAGATGAACCAGAAGTACATAAACATTCCACTTCCTACCTAGCTCCTACTGGCCGGGTCCTCAGTTGATAATCTGAGCTCTGACTAGATAATTGAGAAGTGAGGATACTAGGAAATTCGTTAATTTTGACTCCCTTCTATAATGAGCGAATCAATGTTAAGGACTTTACATTTTAAAATACCGCATTTATCATTACAGAAAGCTGTATACCGGCACAAGTCGTGGCTGCCGTTGATGTAAATAATGTCGCTAATGAAGTATACAAGTGTAATTTTCCTCACACACAGCTACTGGCCAAGACAATTGAAGTGAGTACCTATTTTTATTGTTTTAATAAATATACAGCAAGGAAAATGTGATTGGAAAACACTGCAAGATACTGGTTTCAAGTGTGTGAATTGGAGGATAAGTCATATATAAATGAAAAAGTTGAGGAGAAAAGGAATTAATGTTTTATATCCTATCAGAAGAGAATAGGCTATTTTTGCCCCTCCCCCCCTTTAAATTTCTAGCTTTAGAGAAAGAGAGATCAGTATTTTTGTCTCTGAGAGAAAGGATTGAACTGTAAGAATATGCTTGACTTCTAAATGCTTGGTTCTGTAGTGATAATAAACTTTGCTTAATTCTTCTCTTTGAAGCAATACTCATATAGTATACAGCAGGAGTGAAAACAAGTGATATAGTCATTGGCTATTACTTATTGAATGCTTCTTATTTTAGCAAGCCTGTGAAGTATTTAGTAAGCGTGTCAGAAGTATTTAACACTGATGTACACTGTTATTTTTAAAAATAATATGAAATTGTGTTTTTTCTCCCAGTTTCTTGTTGTGAAAATTTTTGCACACAAATTTCTCATGAAACCGTAATTTACATACAGTAAACTGCGCCCAGTTTGAGTTTTGACCAATACATACAACGGTGTAACCACCCCCAGCACCCCCGCCCCCACAATCAAGACTTACCTGTAGAACATCTATCACCCTGAAATGTTCCTTAGTGCCCCATTTTAGTCAGTTTCTGACCCCAACCCCAGGCAACCACTAATCTGCTCTTGTCATTACAAATTAAAATTTCAGTTTCTTGTATATCAAAAATAAGATCATAAATGTAATTTGTGTGTGTGTGTGTAACTTCTTTTGTTTATTGTAATGTTTTTGGAATTCACCTATGTTCTGTGTATATTAGTAGTCTGCTCTTCTTTATTATTGCTGAGTGATAATCCGTACAATGGAATATCATATACTTCAATATGTGTATCTGTTCGCATGATGTAGACATTCAGGTTGTTTCCAGTTTTTCACTATTCCCAAAAGCTTCTATGACACGTTACGTTCCAACAATCAATGTTTTTTTGTGTTTCAGTTGTTTCACATTTTACCAACACTTTCTATTTGTCAGTCTTTTAAATTTTAGCTACTTTAGTGAGCATATAGTGGTATTGTGATTTTTGTGTGTGTATGGTATTATAATTTCATTTTATTATTTTTTTATTATTAGTTTCAGGTGTACAGAACAATGCAATAGTTATCCTTAACACCCCTCACAATATAATTTTAATTAGTATTTTGCTGATGATGAATAATGTTGAGTATCTATTTTCATATTCTTATTGGTCATTTCTACATCTTCTGTGATGAAATTTTTTACCCATTTTTTCTTATGTTTGTGTTATTATTATTTAGTTGTAAGAGTTGTTTAAGTTTTCTGGATTCAAGTTGTTTGTTAGAAATATGTATAGCAAATGTTTTCCCTACTTCTGTAAAGGAATAGAAATTTAATGGAGAACTTAGAAGTAATAAGAGGCTTTAGGAATTTCAAGCTTTATAAAACAACACATGCTGGTCATTTGAACATTTACGCAAGGTATTGAGCTTTTTGAGGGAAGTCAGATGGGACTAAGATAAACTCTTTCTTTGCCTTTAAGAACTTTCTACTTAGCACAGAAGTTGGACTTGTAACCATTTTGTTTGGGTCTCCTGATTGATTGTAGCATGAAAAAGATATTTCTACTGCAAAACTTTATTCTCTTTCTTAATAGAAATAAGAAAAGAAGGGATGGAAAACCATTATTAATTAAAATAGGATTTAGCCATAGGCCAACACAAAAACTATGAAGAGTTAGGTCAGGTGCGGTGGAGATGGGACAAGATTGAATAAGGATGGTAAAAATTGCGTGCAAACCTCTACATATCTTCTGCAGAATCAAGAAGGAAAGAATGGCAAGGGAGAAGACAATATGCTGAGCAATTGTTCAAAGTCAGGAGAAGAGACATTTAAAAATCCAAACCACTAGGCTGAAAGGGTCATTGTAACTTCCGCAGACTTTCTGCCCTCCCTGAATGCAAGAACCTGGATTAGGGACAGAGGCATTGCGGGTACTTCCTAGAAACAGTGACCACAAAGTACCTGGATGGATAGAGCTGCCACTGTTCTACCTTGTCTTTTAGCAAACTCTTAGGTTCAAGTAGCCTCCATTAAAAAATGAATAATATTTAGAAAGGAACCAGTTAGAGGCTATGCTAAGATCACATTTTTTAAAGGAGGTAAGAAACATAAAAAGCAGAATATACAACAGAAAAATTATGTGAAAAAGCAGAAGAAGTTTCAGACAAACACATCTCTGGGAGCTTGAAGCATTTAAGATAAAACATGGTATCTTCAAAACAAGAACTCAAATAAATGGATACAATAGCTCAAAAAGCAATGACAAGACAATAATAGGTGGTCTGGAAAAAGCAGAACAGGAGAAAAATGAAAGCATTGTAGAAAGAAAAGTCAAATCAGAATAGCAAAAAATAAAATGGATAATATTGCCAACAGGGTCATGAAGGATGGAGCTTGAGTAAAATAAGCAAAAAGTAAAGTGAAAAAGAATATCGATCAAGAATACTGATAATTTGTGGAATAAATGATAACTACTGAAGACAAAGGTGATCCATAATAAACACATGACTCTGAAGAAAATGACAAAACAAAGGAATAAAAATAATGAACAGAAATAGATGCAAAAAATTTCTAAAATAAAACCTACAGCAACTCATGAATTATAGTATCCATGAGCCCTTATTGAAAAAAATGACAGACTTAATGTAACTAAGCAAGAGAAGAATCAAAGTAGAGAACCCAGAAACGAAACTGCCTTGTTAGGAAAGAAATCATGGTTAGAAAATAGGGTGAAAATGTAAATCTTTGCAGTGTAGAGATAATGTAATTAGAGTAGGAAGGGAAAGTGAGACTCGAAAAATATGCCTATTCTTTGAAAGATAAATAAAACTATAGATTTTGAGGACATTATTTAATGTTATTTTCAGGAGCTGAGCTGAGCTGGGAAAGACAACTGAGCTGCCAGGGGTTCGAGTAGCTGATTAAAGCAACAAGGCAGAAATGAGAAAGTGAAGCCTTAGTCACTTACTGCGATGGTAAAAGCCAGTCTCTAAAATCAGACAGCATACTGGTGGAGAGTTGGGTGGCTCAGCACAGACGTGGGGGTCAGCTTACTATTGAGGAGCCCCTGGAGTTGGGGGAAGGCTGGGAGAGGAAAGTACTGGATACTAGTCAGAGTGGGGAGAAATATCTTCAAGGTTTCCCCCTCCTCCTGTAAGGAGGCCTTGGCAGATACAGTTGGTGCCTGAAGAGGACCTCTGCCCAAGGCCTCACTCAGGTAGAGACCTGGGAATGCAATTATGTGAAGAGCGTGGCCTGCCAGGAGGCCTCAGACCCGGTGCAACTGCTCTCACAGGCTGAGATGCACGGGCTGTGCACCAAGGCTGGGTGGTGAGGGTATCTTCCTCCGTGACGTTTTTATCCTCCCGGGCAAAGCCTTGTAACTGCCTGTAGTCAGGTCTGAAAAAAATCACACACAGGTTTTGAACCAGAAGCAGGACTCCTCAGTTATAAAGATAACTAGTAATAACACTAAAATCTGTAATTTATCTAGATAGAAAATGGGAAATTACTAGTCACTACTATATGTACTTTATGTGAACAGAAACTTTGCCTAGTTTGTTTATTGTTGTTTTCCCAGACTTAGTACAATGTCTGGCCTATAGTAGATACTCTGAAATATTGGTGGATTAATTTATGAACATTGTTTAATGGACAACATATTGTGCCTAAAAAATGGACAAATACCAGGCAAATGTCAACAAAGGATAATGGGTTTCAGAATTAATATTAGGTAAGATGGGCTTCTAGGAAAAAACAAAAAGAGTCATTGGAATTTACTTTATAATGATGATTAGTACCATCCTCAAGAAAGGTTTGATTGTCATGAGCATTCGTGTACAAAATAACATCAGAGGTCATAGGGCAAGAAATGGTAGGAAATACCCATTCAGTAAGTTTTTTTTGAGTTCCTACTATATGCCCCAAAATAGGAAAACCGTTGTCTTATGAATATAAACTCAGTAATTCTGAGTAAAATATGACCAAATAGATCAGAAGCACATTAAAAGAATAACATCAGAACCAAAATAGATTTTGTTTTGGGAATGCAAAAGTAGGTTAGTGTTTAGGAATTCTATTAATATTATTCAATTATGGTAGTAATTGGACAGAGCCCAACTATATGTTAGAAAACATTTGACAAAATGCGGTGTCTTTGTGATGGTTTTTAGTCATTCTTAATAAAATTAGAGCAAATGAAAACTACCACAAGATATATATATATATATATATATATATATATATATATATATATATATATATATATATATGTCACTTTCTGGCTTAATATGTGCATGCACGTGTATGTGTTTCTATTTGTGTTTAAGCTCATGCACACACATATATACATATCTCCAAATCTTGTAACATGCTAAATGGTAAAAGTTTAAAAGCATTCGCATTAAAATAATGAATAAGACAAGGATGTACACCATTGGCACTATTATTTGGTATTGTTGTGGATATTAGCTAATGTACTCATACAAGAGAAATATGTGTATATTGGGTTGTTGGAAAAGTCATGACATATTTTTTCTATGTTTTTCATTGCAAAAATGCGTCATGACTTTTCCAACAACCCAGTAAATGTTACAGAGGATTCTAAAGAATAATTATATATGCCTGGGAAACACCAAACATTCTAATAATAGTATGAGGAACTATTCGTGTATTTAATAGTTAACTAAAAGTAGTATGAGGAGCAATTAGTGAATTTAATAAGGAGGCTGGTTACAAAAATATGACAACCAGTAGCTTACTACATGCAAACAAAACACTTGGAACCTATGTAATTTTACTAACCATTGTCACCCCAATAAATTTTAATTAAAAAAAGGACACATGTTAGAATATATATTGGAAGAAAGTTCCTATTTATAGTAGCAATGCAAAAGTTATAAACATTGAGAAATAAACTTAATTGAGAAATAAAAGAGATTTGAAAAATGGAAACTTATTGGGTAGGATGACTTGTCAAAATTTGTTGTTTTCTACTCTATGAGTTTCTTCTAAAAGTTTAAATGAAAATTAAGTATAAGAGCAGCCGGGAAACTTTCTGAGAAAAGCAAGGAGGGAGACAGATAAAACTGCCCATCAAAATTGCCCATCAACATGTGATACTGTTACCATAGAGTTGATCTAATGTTCTCTGAAAGCACAGATGTTTTTATTAACTTGTATGGCCAGGTTATGGAAAAAGAATATTTCCATCAGCTCTAAAATGTCAGAGAACAGTTGACTCTTTTTTTTTTCCAGCATAAAAGCTCATTTAATTATCATTATTACATGGATCTCCCTGACAAAATTATAACCAGTGTATAGACATACAGCAATTTTGGACTTATGACACTTGAGCAAATATGACATTAACACGTGCACTATTCACTTCTGAGAACAGTTGATTCTTGAAGAATGTGGGAGTCAGGCGCCGGCCCAAGTTCATTTCACATATGTATCTTAAACTACTTAAAAGTCTGTGATACAGAAATGATAGACATGTACATTCAAACTTCTAATACCACAGAGACAGCTGATATGTTCCCCCAGTTAACTCACTTTTTACACAACTCAGAATAAAGCTTTTGCTGTTTTATTGTTGTACTTGAACTTCTTAGAAATAGTCATAATTAGGAAGATTGTGATTCTGGGCTTGTCACTTTAAATTTCTGGCTAAGAATGCACACTAAGAGTGCTTCATGAGAACTGGCAAACCCATGACTCATGTTTCTCTCTATTTATCTTCTGATATATAAAACAGAAAGGAAATAGCACATTTTTCAACTCCTTAGCTCAGCAGGGAATATTTTGATTAATCTCATCTACAGTCTTTTGAACTTCTTTGACTACACACAACTGTAAAACAGTATAATAATTGTGGATATCTGAGAACGGGACCTTTTTCCATTTGGTGCTATATTAACTGAGACATACATGAAAGGAACGGTGACTGGTCAGTACATCACATTTCCTAAATAATGAATATTATTGATTCAGTGAGGTGTTTAAAAATTTCCTAGACCCTAGGCTGAAAATCATTAATTATAAAATATAGTTCTCCATGTTTGATTCCAGAAAACAATGCAGTGTTAGACCTTAGGTTTTTTATCATAGAGGCATGAAATGCTTATGCTCTGGGGCACCAGTGTTCCAGCTCTGCGTTGGCCAGCTCTGGGACGCGGGGAAAGTCACTTCATTTTTCATAACTTCGGTTTGGCTTCACTTCCTTCACAAGATTGCTTTGAAAAATTAGCTTAACTGAAGTTGATTTGAAAAGTATTAAGTGTTATGTAAACTTTTAGATGTTGTAAATAAAACTATTAAGTGTTACAGCTTCTGATATATTCAGTTATAATTAGTTACCATTTTTCTTCCTTTCCCATTCTATGCATGTTTTTACGTTCTTTTCTTTTATTCCCAAATGTTCATTCTTTAGGGCATTACCTTAGAAGAGTTTGACAGGCTATCTGTCAATATGATTTTAATGAGCCCTCCCTGTCAGCCATTCACAAGGTATGTATAATGAATTTCTCTGTTGAAAGAGAGTATTTTTGAAGGACTCATTAAATCAAACCATTTCATAGTTTCAAGCACAGACACTTTGAAGTCTATCAGCTGCATTTCATAGTTTTGAAATTTTTCATAAATAATTCCTTTTATGTACTCATATTTATAATCCAGTATTAATCATGAAGGAAATCGTAATTACTGCCACATGAGCAAAGTAATTTGATCAGTAGCAGATATGCAGACTATATTGGACCTCTTCTGTATCCACCTAAGATGCAGTCGTGCTGCTTAACGATGGGGATACATTCTGAGAAATGTACGGTTAGGTGATTTTGTCCTTGTGTAAACATCCTAGAGTGGGCATACGCAAACCTGGATGGTCTAGCCCATCACACACCCAGGCTCTATGGCACAGCCTATTGCTCCTCGGCTATAAGTCTGTACAGCCTGTTACTGTGCTGAATACTGTAGGTAATTGTAACATGATGGTAAGTATTTGTGTATCTAAACATAGAAAAGGTATGGTAAAGCTATGGTTTAAAAGATATAAGATGGTACACCTGGATAGGGATAGGGCACTTACCATGAATGGAGCTTGCAGGACTGGACGTTGCTCTGGGTGAGTGAGTGAGTGAGTGAGTGGGGAGTGAATGTGAAGGCCTGGGACATGACTGTCCACTGCTGTAGGTTTTATACACACTGTACACTCAGGCTACACTAAATTTATAAAACAACACGAGATTGAATCAAGCAACAGAAAATGATGCAATCTATTGAGATGCAGTAAACAGGAGAAGTATGAGGCTGCTGCCAGTGTAACACGGCATGCTATCTTATAGCACTCCACTCTTTTTTTAATAAGTAGAAAGAGTCCACTCTACATTAATGACAAAAAGTATAGTAAATACATAAACTAGTATTTAACCAATATAGTTGATTATTATTAGTGTCAGCTAGTAGGTACTGCACATAATTGTATGTGCTACACTTGTACATGACTGGCAGTGCAGTAGAGTAGTGTGCACCAGCATCAGCACAGACACATGAGGGAGGGATTGCGCTGTGATGTGATGGCCATGTCACTAGGTGATAGGAAGTGTTCGGCTGCATTATAATCTTATACTGATAGCATCAGTAACTGATTCTGTTGTACCATCATCATTTGGAACACTGAAAGGAAAGGGCCAGGATGAGAAGAACCCAAGACTTTGGAGGAATCTCTTCAAGTCCATTCTTGTATCCCATCTGAGCCTTAGGTCCACTGATGGTTTTGGCCCTGCTGTCAGGTATGAGGAAACTGACAATGTTACCAAATAACTTATTTAAGACTGTGAAGCTAGTCAATAGCAAGGTCCTCTGTTTCTACTCCTCCAGCCTAATCCAAGTCTTCCTTGCTGCTTCATAATTCATCATGTTGAATCTTATTTGTTAGCTCTAATTGCTAGTCCAAATACTGCCTGTTGCTCCTGCTTGTAGAATCAAGCCTTCAGCTTAAGTCTCTCCTGTTTACATCAGATGAGATTGTCTTAGCCTTACTGCTTTGATCTGCTCAATGGTGATTAGTCATCAATGCCATCAGCTCTATGTTGCCCCCCTACCTAACCAGCTCATTCATCAGAACTTTTGTTGTCTCCTCTGGGACAGAGCAAAAGGTGTCACCAGCCGCGCGCGCGTGCGCTTGTGTGTGTGTGTGTGTGTGTGTGTGTGTGTGTGTGTGTGTTTCCTAATCCAAGTGATTTTTAAGAGGGTAATTGATTTTATTCATTAACTTCTTTGCCTCATGTAAGTTATTTGACACATTGTTTTGTAAAAATAAATTTTGAGTGTGTTTATTACATAGGCAAGCTTTTTTTTTTAATTAGGTGAATAAATGCATTACAAGTTTTATTATAATTCACTTGGTTTTGACATTTTAAAAGTTATTTGATATCTTTATGTAAGATTCTTGTTAAACTTATTTGTGCTTTCTCTATCCCTTTAGAATTGGTCTCCAAGGTGATGTGACTGATCCAAGGACTAATAGCTTCTTATATATTCTAGACATTCTCCCAAGGTAAAACCTTAGATTCCTGTACAAGCTTATCTTAAATTTAAAACTTTGGACCTGGCAGAATGTGATGGTGGTTATTTTATGGAGATGAACAGTGTATACATGTCACCAGTTCATGTCATTTATCTTCTCCTGCCATGACTAATAGAATAACTGCAAATGTTTGCTGATTCCACAGTTGCCACTACAATGAGTGACAGGGAATTACAGCCTGATAGCTAAATTCTGTTGCCTCTGCCCATAGTAAATATTACTGCAGAGGAAGCTGAAGTGAGTGAATGCTTTTGCTATGGCCTGGAAACTTGTGCTAACCCTGGAAGCCGCCATCCTGTGTAAATGGCAGCCCATTGGGCTGTGCAGTGCAGAGGCTCTGCATGAACCCACGTTTTGAGATAATGGAAATTAACATTTCAAATGTTAACTTTATCAGGTGTGCCATGTTTATGGGGTAAAATGAATAAAATATGAGTTGTCTCTGTCCCTTATAAAGTTCTTTTATAAAAAAAGAGAGTTCAGAAAATTACTTACTTCATATTCCCCACAAGTAAGGATTTTCTTTACTACTTCATAATGAGATGTTTGAAATTCCATTTGTTTTTGTTTTGCTTTTTTTTTAGATTACAAAAATTACCGAAGTATATTCTTTTAGAAAATGTTAAAGGTTTTGAAATATCTTCTACAAGGTAAAAATGTATTTTTCTTGTGTTCATCTTAGACTGAGTATATTTTATAGTAGGAACTGTTGTGAAATAATGATCTTAAGCACACATTCTGACGTTACATATTTTATTCATTAATATGATTTTGACCAGTTAATAATGTGAAGTATCACAAAGTTAGGTTCAACTCATTCTCGTCCATTTTGATATATTTGAATGTTTCCAGAACGAGCACTCATTTTAATCAGAAGGGTATTTCTCAATTGTAGTTGTTTATATTGCTGCCTATTTCTTTAGAAGTTGGAATGTTTTCAGTGAGAATTGGTTCTGTGGACAGGCATTTTCTGCCCTATAGTGAGATGGAAGAAGTAAGCCCTGTGTCCGGGCCCTTGCAGATGGTAGCCCAGCTGGAGAGACAGCATCGATGCTCTTGATTCAGCTGCTGTCTGTAACGGTGTTTCCTCATCTGACCTGCTACGGATAGTTCCAGTTCCCATAGCATACTTCTCATCAGATTAGCGATTCTCACCAGTTTGGATAAATTATCTGACGGTTTCATTATTTATAATAGAAATGATCTCTGTCTTTTTTTGATAAATGTAATTTCTCAAGTACTGGACTTGAAGACCTAGGGTCATTCTCTTTCTAAACAATTTGAGTGGAGATACAGTTTTCCCTTAAGATGAGGTTTTATGTATATTTTGTATAAGAACCCTGTTTCCAACTGTAGCGTGAAAGCTTTTTCCTTTTTCTTCTTTTATTTTTGTCTTTTCAGAGACCTGTTAATACAAACAATAGTAAACTGCGGCTTTCAGTTCCAAGAATTTCTATTATCTCCAACCTCTGTAGGTACCTCAATTATTATAATATAAACTCATATAAATTTTCCCAAAGGGAATATGAATCAGTAAGAAGACTGGATCTATTTTGAATATTATTATAGGTAAATCTTAAAATTAATTCAGGCATGGATCTTTCTAAAGAATACAGTACAGACATATAGATTCATTTATACGTGTTTTATGAAAAATATCTAGTATATAGATTGAGGCTCATAGAGAATATATTTTTCTTTCCACACAGAAACTATGCTTTGAAAATATGTGACATTTGGTTTTTTCAGAGGAGTTTAGTAATGCTTCAAAATAATCCAAAGTAAAAAACAAAATGAACATATGATAATTTTCTAATTACTTTCTTTGGGATACACCATTAAAGTGCAAACATTGCTTCTGTTTCATGTGTAAGAAATTGAAGTAATTGGTTATGATAAGTTCTTTGGTAGATCTTTGATATTGCAAGCATCACTATCTATTTTTTCTTTTGCCTCTGTGTTTGTTGGTCTCTTATTAGCTTTTGCCTATTATATAGTTCTTTGCCCTGAAATTAAAAGAAAACCCATTTCAAAAATTAGATGTACAACTGTGGAAATTAACAATATGTCTGATCTCTAGGTTCATTTCATATTTATTACCTTTTAACTTTTAAAATTGAATGAGTCCTACTTTTTAAATAAAATGAGATAATAAAGAATAGCTATATTTGATTTATTTTATGATTACTATATTATCAATAATGAATGTAAAAATGTTTGTATAACTTCTTACCTGGGAAATAAAATGAAAGAGACATATGATTCACCAGACTCAATCTTTGTTTTATTCAAATAAAGGTACAAATCAACATTTTAAAAAGTTAAGAATTTGCTATATTTTTCTGCAAATCAATTACAAAATATTTTTTCTGGCAGAAGCTAAAGGTATACATGTATGAATTTCTTTATTAGGCGCTCACAGTTGATACAGATTTCTTTAATTTCCTATAGTAACTAACTGTTTCCTCACAGCTTGGCATTCCAAATTCAAGGCTACGCTATTTCCTTATTGCAAAGCTTCAAGCAGAGCCATTACCTTTTCAAGCCCCTGGTCAGGTATTATTATTGTTGTTTTTGTTATTGTCACCATTATTATTATTTATGTATTGTAAATACATCTCAGTCTGCTAATTTATTTTGAGAACTACTTTGTGGAGGTTTGTATGTATCTTATTGAGCCTACGGTATAGACCAGGGGTCGGCAAACTGCGGCTCGCGAGCCACATGCAGCTCTTTGGGTACGTTCTGTCTCAAAAGTTTGCTGACCCCTGGAAGAGCCAATCCTGTCCCTCACAACAATTTAAAAATTATTCGAGAACCATAAATATATTTTACATAATCACCATTATGTGAATCATATCCTTTAAAAATGTTATAAATGAAACTATGATAGTTTTATTTTCATTTTCAATTTTACTTCAGAGCCACAGTTCACGAGCTGCAGTTTGCTGACCCCTGGCAGCTCTTTTGTCTCAAAAGTTTGCCGACCCTGGTCTAGACCATGCCCTAGCTCTATCCCCTAGGCCTTTTTCTTTTTCTGATGCCACTCTTATTGCTTTAAACAAAACAGAAAACAAAAACTTTTGTTTCATAATTAGAAAAAATGTAAGTTTAAACTAAAAGAATTTACCTTGAGCACTGTTATCCTCCTTTCTCCCTATAATTTAGCTTCTGACTGTTCACTATTTTGCATCCATCATTTCCCCCTCCAGTACAATCCATGGAATACTTTTGATAAAATTCAGTTATGCTATCTGAAAAAATAGCTTAAGAGCATTTTAATACATTGGTTGAATTTTCTTTGAAGTTAATGCTATTTAGCCTTAATTAAAATATAGTAATGATTAGTACAAACTAGAATAAAATGCTCTGCTGCTATAGATACGATTTCTAATTATGCAAGCAGTTGTATGTGCTTCTGTCAGAAATTGGTCTGAATCAGAGCGTTTCGGTGGTTCCAAAGCTCTCCATAACCATCACGGGTAAGAACTCAAAGCTATGTCCCGCTATCACAGTAGTGTCATTTGAACCCCCTACAATACAATACCAATACATCTCCATAGCGGGCAATTCCAAAAACAGTGTATAAGATATATTAACAAAGATGTCATCATTAAAAATTCCTGGAACTATTTTTCTTTTTTACAAAATAGGACTTTGTCTATGGTTACATGTTTTGCAGGAACAAGTTTTTTCCTATGGGACTCGGGAATAGAAATAACCTTTCAAGGTGAAAGGTGCTTCCTTTTTTTAATTACTAGTTTTCCTTTAGATCATAGGTATGTTCCAGTTTTTCTTTTTTAATGAAAGGGTATGGCAAACTTTGATCCAAAACACACTTTCTAGAAATGTTAATGTTGCTTTCTAAATTTTTTCTCTAAATATGAGGCTCTACGTATATACAACATACTTCCTATTACTTTGTTGAATGTTTTTATTAATAAATAGAGAAAGCTTTAACTCCATGAAATAAATTATCTGTAGCTGGGTGACACTACAGATATATAATGAATAGCTTTTAATAATTTGTATAAATACAAGTAAATCACAGTTTTTATGTTTCTAATGACAACTTTATAAAAGCTAAAGGGATATTTTGCATAATGTTGGCTGGACCTTATTAATTTGTCTTTTATTTTTAAAAGCTTTTGACAGTTTATGTATTTTTACTTAATGCCAGGTACTGATGGAATTCCCCAAAATTGAATCCGAACATCCACAAAAACATGCAATAGATGCAGAAAATAAAACTGAAGGGAAGAAAATTGGGCCAAATGTTTGCTTTACTAGCAGCAAACAATGTGCTGGAAAAGAAGCCATTCTTTTTAAGCTTGAAACTGCAGAAGACATTGACCGGAAACATCAGCAGGACAATGATCTCTCTGTGCGAATGTTAAAAGATTTTCTTGAAGATGACATTGACCTGAATCAGTACTTTTTACCACCAAAGTCATTGCTGCGATATGCTCTTTTGTTAGACATTGTTAAGCCCACTTGCAGAAGGTCCATGTGTTTTACGAAAGGGTAGGTTTTAAAGACATTCTATTCATGAAATATCCAAAATAACCAGGTTTTTATACCTATTGTTTCTTTTATTTCTTCTCAAAACAAGGAGCATTTTATAAAATGTCTCTGCTAGAATGATTTTTTTCACCCTTAGTTGCCTGCTTTCGTGTTCCAATAGAATGCATGAGTGAAAATTCCTTTTGGCAGAGCATTATGTGTACAACCCACCAAAGTGCTCAGAAAACACAATGCCATTTGTTTGGTGACCTTCACAGAAGCTGAATTACCCATGGTGGAAACATGGTTTCTGTACACGGTGAATTGCTAATTTTTTAGCACCTTTCTTTTTATGGAACACAAGACCTAAAAAATTTATATCCACTCTCATGATCAATGTATAAAAAGAAATTAAATTTTAATATTAAGATATTAAATTGATTCATCTGGCACATGTTGGAGCACATTTAAATGCTTGGCCACTGACTTCCCTCTTTACATGCAACCAGAGATTTCAGTTCCTGTCTAATATCCCAGAGGCATTACATGTGAGGGTGTGTTTAAATATACATGCATATTTTTACCCCCTCCTTTAAGTAAGTGGTGACATACTATATCCATTATTAGGTGCCCTTTGTTATTGCACAATATAAATTGGGTACTATTGCATATGAGTACATAAAGAGCTTTTCTATTCTCATGATACATGAGATGTATACCTATATCATGAGAATAGAAAAGTTCTTTATTTCTTTTACTGGTTACCTTTGAGTTATTTATTCAATATATTTTTCATCAATTTTTTTAAAACCTAGAAAGAAGGGGAAAATTAGGCCTTTCCCGAAAATTTTGTAAAAACCCCTGACTCAGCTTTGTTAATGTCACTCAGCCTCATTTGATAAGTGGTTGTGTGATTTGAAACTTCAAACCTTTTTACCTACTAGCTAGCTATCTTGAAAAAGACACTATATCCCTGATACAGTCACACCAGACTCATTCTGACTTTATCACACTTTGCCCTTGTACTTCCAGGAACGTGGGTTTATTGCCTTTCATTACCTTAAATGACTCCTCTCAGCTATTGTCTATTTCCAAGTCCAATAGGTTCTTGTTAGGATTCTAATACAACAAGTCTTATCAATTTTGTAATAAAAAACCACCACCTTGAAATTCTTTTGTGGTTATAAAGATGGTATAAAAGAAGCCTTAAGTAAAAGTCTATTTCAGGGTAGACAATATAAACATACATTTACATGTGTGTGTGTGTGTGTGTGTGTGTGTGTGTGTGTGTGTGTGTGTATAAAATATATGAGAAAACAATTAGAAGAAAATTTTTCCCTAATTTATACTTTAAATTGCTCTATTAGGAAAAAAAGAAATAATGCTAATATGTTGAACAGCCAGTGTGGCAATGATCTCCGGGAAGAAATATTACTAATACCTTACATTTCTGAGTGTTTTATACTTCCAATACCAGTTTTTATACAATGGTCTCATTGTTTTATGATAAGAGTAAACATATACTGTGTTACAGTAAGAGGCAGTTGCACATCCAGGGGGCCTTGTTTGCCATTGGGGACTGGAAAGTAGGGCTCTGTGTCCACGAGAAGAAATGTTTCTAGCATGATAAAAAAGTGTAGCAATTTATTTTTACCTACATATATTTGGTTTAATATAGCAGGGATGCAAATATTGAATAGTATTTGGATATGAAGTTGTCACAAGTGTATACTTACTAATGATGAACATTAAAAAAGTGGCAGTTAATACAAAGAAATGACAATTGATAATACATCATTCAAAATAGTATTTACACAACTCAAAAAACTATGCCAAGTTTGGTGTCTGAAAAGTTTAAATACAATGATGTTATGTTTTCCACCCTGTAATTTTTCAGTTACAAAGCATATTTATGTGATATTATCTAGAATATTTCAGAAGGATATAACTGTGCAGATTGAATAGTTTATTCAGGAAATGTTTAAGAAATTTAGTATTAAATACATAAGATGCTGTATAATATTTGTGTTAATTTTTCAGTTATGGAAGGTACATAGAAGGGACAGGATCTGTGTTACAGACTGCAGAGGATGTGCAGGTACTATGCATACTTTAGAATAAAACTATTTGAAAATAATTTTAAATAAAATTATGTTTAATATTTAAAATTTGCAAATGTTAAAATAATTTTAATGTTCCATTGGGAATGAATATATATATATATATTTCATTCATATTTATATCATATATAGTAATTCTTTACTATAGAATATTTTTTTCTTGTTATATATGAGTTTATATACAAGGAATGTTCTGTGCTTTTATTTTCTTTTTATTCTTACCTTTTGCGTTGTTTTATTCCATAAACAGTAAATTATACATAAGAGCACAATAGTTAATTTCTCTAAAGTTATGCATAGATATGTTCATATTAGAGCCTTCTTTTGGAGCACATAGTATAAAACTCCCTTTTATTTTTATTGTTACTTCAGTTATAAACTCTTCATGGTGTTATGGTTGAATATAAGCTTGATATATTACAAGTTTTATACTTTTGAATAAGTTCGAAGTGAAATCACATTATCGTTTTTACTGATTTAAACTCTATTAATAAAATTTACCTATGGTAAAAATCCTATCAGAAGCAAACGAATGTCTGTATTTGATAAATCATATTTACTAAATATGTTTTTATCATTTTAAGAAAATAACTTGGTGAAATTGATCATAAACAGTAAACATTTTATTTTATTTATTTATTTATTTTTTAGCTGAGCCATTCTGCCACCTGTTGGCAGCTCAGTGGCAGCTCAGCTCAGGCTGGGACTCGAACTGCTGTTGCTCAGAGCCCACACTCTTGAGCGAGCTCTTAACCAACTGAGCCACTTGGACAGCCAACAGGAAACATTTTAATGATCTACTTGTTAGCATTGTAAATAGGACTTCATTGATTGATCAAGTTTCTTTTTTTGCATGTTTCACTGTATTTCTTTTGTTATATTGTCATTTATTGTTTATATTCTTATGATTTAATTTTTGAGGGATCGAAAATGACAGATAGTATCCTGTCAAAAATGACTGCGAGTATCCTGAACTGTTCAGCATTAAGCTTTTGTTCATTTTCAAAGTTTACATTCCTGTTGATGAGCCAATGATAAACTATTGCACATTCTGCCCCGTGCTTTTGCTGCCGTGTGTTAAGGCAGGATATGTATATGCCCATCGTTTTTAAACTGTCTTATAATAGATGCTCTTATCTTAACAAGTATAGTTGGAATCTACTTCATAAGTTATCTTGGATGTTTTCTTACAGATTGAGAATATCTACAAATCCCTTACCAATTTGTCACAAGAAGAAAAGATAACGAAATTGTTAATGCTTAAACTTCGATATTTCACTCCTAAAGAAATAGCAAATCTCCTTGGATTTCCCCCAGAGTTCGGTATGTGGGATACATGCAGACCTCCGCTTTCATTTATTAAAGGTCCCAAAATTCATTAGAGGCTTAAGTATGTATTTTATGAAGAAACCCTTACTCGGGCAGATGGATGTAAGAAACCTTTTTCCTTTCTTGATTGTTTAATTTTTGACATTTTGCTTCTCTTTTTACTTCCGTTTATAATCTGCTTCTGTCCATTTTCTTCAGACTCAGTTCTCTCCCTCCCTTTACTCCAGTCATGGTCCCGAGCGGTTTTCAGGGACAGAGGCCAAATCGGCAAGTTTTCACCTCTCTGAATGAATGTTAATAGCATCTCTGTCTCCAGCTCATTTTCTTGCTTCCAGAGTTCCTATTCTAATAACCCAATGCTAGATCACATGAAAGAATACCTTGGTTTGTCTTTTTTCTTTCTGTTTTTTTACAAAGAAAAGGCAGTGAGGAATTTAGTTATTATTTTTTGTCTGAGGGGTTTATTTTCCTCAAAGATGCTTTCTTATCAATTAGGTTCCTTTGTCCTCCCTTACAAGGTTTAAGTGGAGAAAAGAGAAGGTGGAGACATGGCCTAGGAAGGAGCTTTCCTAATGGAAAGAAAGGATGACTCAGGCGCATAGATGCCAGAACTGACAAAAGGTTAGGGGATCCAAAGCAGGGACTCTCCAGAATAAAAGTGAAGATACAGTTGTAGGGTAAGAAATACGAAGTCCTAACTCTTTGCAGCGCAGGAATCCGGGGATCCTTGCTATTGAGAAATGGATGTATTGCCTTTGCTTCGTAGAGCAGCCCCGCCCTTCCTGACCTCACTCCTTGGCGCCTGCGCTCTCCCTGTATGGAGACCATGAGCGTCTTGGGCTGGTGGGCATGTTCCCAGCGCCTGGCTCACGGCACCAGGATGGGACAGACCTCCTTATGCTTCCAGGGCTATACAAGGAGGAAATGTGTTTCTGATAACTCTGATTGGAGTTTGCAGAAAAACCAAACTTTGCTAATGTTGTTGTAACAATAATACTGTCCTATTCTTGAAGCACATAATGGGCTACATAGATCATGTTTTAAATTCTAAATAATGGATTTACAGATGAAGGTTCAGAATACATCCTTTTGTATGTTGGGAACAAAACTGCCGATATAATTTGACTACCCTCTTGGTAATTGATTCTTCAGGCGTAGTCACAGCAACCAGGTTTTTTTTTTTTTTTTTTTGAACTCTCTGCCTTTTTCTTGGTGATCTCATTCAGTCACAGATATCCTGGGAAGGTTATTTAAGAAAAACACAGACTTTCCTTGTCTTAGTTTATGTCACAAAGTGAGGGAGAACATCGTAAAACAAATGAAGAACTGAGCGTTAAACTCAAGAACTTAATTCCCAGCCTGCTTTTCTGGTTCTTTTTTAGATCAAGCAAGCAAAGGTACTCTGCATAGTACTAAAGAAAAAAGCGAGATTTACTCTCTGATAACTAATTCCTAGATTTTATTTTAGTGTTTGTTTTTGCTAGCAGTAGTCATCACTTTGGTAATATCGAAACTTAGCATGGATGCCAGAGTGAGACTGAGTTTGAATCCTAGTCCTCCCTTAACTGCTTTTTTACTTAGTTTACACATCTGTAAAACGGGGATAACTGCAGCATCAAGTTCATAGAGTTGTTGTGATAAGTTAGTATATGTAAAATATTTACACACTGTCTCACATGTACTGTAAAATTTAAGTGTCAGCTTTTATTTTTAAATCATGAACATTTATTTGCTTTTATAGCCTTTACTTCATAAATATATTTTCTCATTATTTAAAATATTTAGATGGGGAAGATAGGATTTTTCAGAACTCTCTGACAGTATGTGTGTAATACATACACACAAAGCCTTTTTCTTTGCTTCACCTTCTTATAAAATATGTGATATATTTGGGTAGTCAGGCTTTCCCTGATGTCACCACTGAGCAGCACTCTGACAGAACTATCCTTCATGGGTGTTTTTGACACTATTGACTCGGGGTCCAAAATAGGCATTGTTTGAGCTGCCTGTCCACTGGTAATAATGGATTTGCATTGATTTTCCGTACGTTTTGTCCTGGCTCCCTTTGTGACCATTGGTATGCATTAGTGAAATGACAGGCTTTGGAAGAGAGGAGCGCTAACATGCACTTACTAAATGAAAGCTGCTAGCTTGACTTTGTTAATTCTAAATTTCTTTGTTTTAGAGGATTATTATTATTTTTAATGTTCCTAAGTTTTTAAAAAGCCACCTTTTAAAAAAAAATTGTCATTTTCCCCATAAGCTAGTTTAGATTTTAGTATCTATACTCATATATAAAATACACACATGTATATAACTTTTACAAATCTTGTTTGTTTTCAAACCTCTCTTCCCCTGTGATGTCATTTTAATATTGCATAGGATCGTTCCTGCCATAACCTAAAAATCTGTAGATATATTTGTACTTCTGGCTGCATTGAACTAACAGATTCTTGAGATCACTGATATGCTTGCCTAATACATGTTATCTTTACAATGGCACTTTTATGATCACGCTCAATTGCAAATATAGTTTTATTATGGTAATCACTGTTATCTTTTTGTGGGAAGTATAATGTCAAGTTTTGATGAAGCAGCTTTATCATAATCAACTCTACCTTCTGGTCCTCACAACTATATAAAATTTTGCTATTCTTAATGCTCTTCAATTATTTCCTTGATTTTATTATCTCACTTGCTTTTTCCTTTATTTAATTGCTATGTCAAAGTGTACTACTGAATGTGGAATTCTAACATTGTAATTATCGTTATAGTGGACACTCTTAGGCATAGATAGTCTTTTATAGTGATACTCACAAGGCTTGGTTCCAGCAAGTGTAGTGTCTGTGGGCCATTTTGTTTAGACAATATAGTAAATAGAAGTCCGCCATGAAAAAGTCAGTTTGTGGTATCAGAATATTAAAAACAACTGTAAGGAGTTTGTGTCCAAAATATATAAAGAACTCTTACAATTCAACAATAAAAAACCAAATGATCTAATTTAAAAATGGGCAAAAGATTTGAATAGACATTTCTCCAAGGAAGATAGACAGATGGCCAATAAGCACATGAAAAGATGTTCAACATCATCAGTTATAAGGGAAGTGTAAATCAAAACAGATACCATTTCACAAAACAACAAACAATAACTGTTGACAAAGATGTAGAGAATTGGGTCCCTGTATACTTCTAGTGGGAATATCGAATGGTACAACTGCTTTGGAAAACAGCCTGGCAGCTCCTCAAATGTTAGACATAGAGTTCCTATATGACCCAGAAATTTTACCACTAGGGGCATATCCAAGAGAATTGAAAACAAGTGTTCACGCAAAACTTATACATAATATTCGTAACAGCATTCATAATAAGGAAAAAGTAGAAACAACCCAAACTTTAAATGATGAATGGATAAATAAAATGTGGTATATCCATATAATAGAATGTTATTTGGCCATAAAGAGGAATGAAGTACTGGTACATGCTATAACATGAATGAACCTTGAAAACATCGTGCTAAGTGAAAGCAGCCAGAAACAAAAGCAGTATATTGTATGGTTCCATTTATATAAAATGTTCAGATTTGGCAAATTCGTAGAAACAGAAAGTAGATTACTAGTTGAGGGACAGGGAGGGTTAGTAGGGAGTGACTGCTAATGGATACTGGCTTTTTAAGATTTTTTTATTGAGGAACAATTGACATATAATATTGTATCAGTTTCATGTATGCAGCATAATGGTTGAATATTTATATACATTGTGAAATGATCACCATAGTAAGTCTAGTTAACTTCTGTCACCATACATAGTTACACAATATTTTTCTTGTGATGAAGACTTTTAAGATCTATTCTTTTAGCAACTTTCAAATATGGAATACAGTATTATTAACTATAGTCACCATACTATAGGTAAGACCTCCATGACATTTATTTATACTGGAATTTTGTACCTTTTGAGCCCCTTCACTCATTTTGCCTCCCCACCAACTTGTCCTCTATATCTATGAGCTTGTTTTTCTGTTGTTTGTTTGCTTTGTTTTTCTTTTGATTCCACATACAAGTAAGATCATATGGTATTTGTCTTTGTCTGACTTACTTCACTTAGCATAATGCTCTCACTCTCCATTCATGTTGTCACACGTGGCAAGATTTCATTCTTTTTATGGCTGAATAGTATTCCATTGTGTGTGTGTGCATGTACATGTGTGTGGGCATGTACCACATTTTCTTTATCCATTCATCCATTGATAAATTTAGGTTGTTTCCATGTCTTGGCTACTGTAAATAATGCTACAGTGAACCTGGAGTGCATATATCACTTCTAATTAGTGTTTTGTTTTTATTGGATAAATACTCCGAAGTGAAATTACTAGATCAAATGATAGTTTGATTTTAAAAATTTTTTGAAGAACCTCCGTATTCTTTTCACATTGGCTGAACCAATTTGCATTCCCATCAATAGTGCACAGAGTTCCCTTTCCATGTCCTCACCAACACTTGTTATTTTTTGTCTTTTTCATAATAGCCATTCTAAGGTAATATCTCATTGTGGTTTTGATATGCATTCCACGATGATTAGTGATGTCGAACATCTTTTCATGTACCTGTTGGCCATTGTATGTTTTCTTTGGAAAAATGTCTATTCAGATCCTCTGCCCATTTTTCAATTGAATTATTTGGGGGTTTTTTGCTCTTAAGTTATGTAAGATCTTTATATGTTTTGAATATTAACCCTTTATCAGATACCAGATTTGCAAATATTTTTTCCCACTTAGTAGGTTGCCTTTTCATTGTTGATTATTTCCTTTGCTGTGCAGAAGCTTTTTAATTTGATGTAATCATACTTGTTTATTTTTGCTTTTGTTGTCTTTGCATTTGAAGAGTCAGATACAAAAAAAATCATCCATAAGACCTATGCCAGGGAGCTTCCCACCTGTTTTCTTCCAGGAGTTTTATGGTTTCAGGTTTTATGTTCAAGTCTTTAATCCATTTTGAGTTAATTTTTGTGTATGGTGTAAGATAGTAATCTAGTTTCATTCCTTGGTATGTATCTGTCCAGTTTTAACAACACCATTAATTGAAGAAACTGTCCTTTCCCCATTTTATATTGCCTCCTTTGTTGTAAGTTAATTGACCATATACATGGGTTTATTTCTGGGTGCTCTATTGTGTTCTGTTGATCAATGAGTCTCTTTTTATGCCAGTACCATACAGTTTTGATTACTACAGCCTTGTAATATACTTTGAAATCAGGACGTATGATGCCTCTATCTTTGTTCTTCTTTCTCAAGATTGTTTTTGCTATTTTGGGTCTTCTGTGGTTCCAAATGAATTTTAGGATTGTATGTTCTATTTCTGTAAAAACAGCCATTACAATTGTTTTAGATATATCATTGAATCTGTTGATTGCTTTGCATAATATGGACATTGTGACAATATTAATTCTTCCAATCCATGAGGACAGAATATCTTCACAATTATTTGTGCCTTCTTCAGTTTCTTTCATCAGTGTTTCATAGCTTTCAATGTCTAGGTGTTTCACTTCCTTGGTTAAATTTATTCCTAGGTATTTTATTTTTCTTGATGCAATTGTAAATGGGATCGTTTTGTTAATTTACCTTTCTGATAGTTCACTGTTAGTGTAGAGCAGCGGTTCTCAACTTGTGGGTCGTGACCCCTTTGGGGGTCGAACTACCCTTTCACAGGGGTCACCTAAGACCATCGGAAAACACATATTTTCAATGGTCTTAGGAACCGAGACACTGCTCCTCTATCCATCTCCAGGCAGGTCCACCCACATGCAGATATGCCCACATATGAGTACCTGGCTTCAAGACAAAATTTCATTTATTTGTAATTAGAAATAACTATTTCACAATATATAATTACATATTGTTTTTGTGATTAATCACTATGATTTAATTATGTTCAATTTGTAACAATGAAAATACATCCTGCATATCAGATATTTACATTACGATTCATAACAGTAGCAAAATTACATTTATAGAGTAGCAACAAAAATAATTTTATGGTTGGGGGTCACTACAACATGAGGAACTGTATTAAGGGGTCGCGGCATTAGGAAGGTTGAGACCCACTGGTGTAGAGAAACAAAACAGATTTTTGTATATTAGTTTTGTATCTGCAACTTTACTGAATTTATTCGTTTTAACACTTTTGGTTGAGTCGTTTGGGGTTTTTGTATACAATAACATGTCATCTACAAATACTGATTGTTTTATTTCTTTCTTTCCAATTTGGATGCCTTTTATTTATTTTTTTTTCTTGCCTTATTGCTCTGGCCTGGACTTCCAATATTATGTTGAATAAAAGTGGTGAGAGTGGGTATCCTTGCCTTGTTCCTGATCTTAGAAAAAAGTTTTTAGCTTTTTACATTGAGTATTGTGTTAACTGTGGGCCAGTTTTTTTTTTGTTTTGTTTTGTTTTGAGGTAATGGGAATGTTCTGGAATTAAATAGTGGAGGTGTGTGCAAAACCCTGTGACTATTACTGAAAACTACTGAATTGTACACTTTAAAAGGGTGAATTTCACAGTATGTGAATTATATCTTCATAAATCTGTTATTAAATAAAACAACTGTGGGTAGCCATTGCTTTTCCTTAAATACACAGATTTCTGTGAGTTCTGGGAATGTTATATGTATACATGTGTGTGCACTGTGCATAATATGATATGAAATATGATATGATAATATCACATTGTGTAGGCAATGTACTGTTATATATTTTTGGCTCCAAATTCTCGTTGGTTAATGGAACTTCGTGGAGACCTTAGGGACTTATTTATATAAGTGACCACTGTGCTTTTACTAAAGGATACATTCTTTTATCTCTGGAAGTTCTTACAAATGATTGTATTATAAATTGTTATCTCTCTTTTCTAGGATTTCCTGAGAATATAACAGTGAAACAGCGTTATCGTCTACTTGGAAATAGTCTCAACGTGCATGTAGTAGCTAAACTAATCAAAGTCCTATATGAATAACTTTAAAATAACTCTGAAAGATGGCCACAGTATTCCTTCATATCCAGATGGTAATTCTGAAATTCTATCTTAAGTTAATTTTGATGAAATTCAACTAAGTTACCTTGGTCTTTCTTTAGTAAGAAATTTGGATTTATCACAAAAATGACAATTTGTTTCTTTAAATTTATATTGCTCTCTTTTATAAAGAGAATTTGTTGTTATGCTTTAGGTGAACATATTTTCATATGAAATTGTTAAATGTATATGTAAAATATTCTCTGTAAAATATGGTATAAACAAATTGAGGAACATTAGAATTTTAGTGTCTACATGACTATTTTATAAAGTATCATAGCAGGATTAGTATAATGAACCTGAGCCGTTGTATATTTTTGTGTTAATTAAAGATGTTGCTTTATGAATCATCATTTTTTTGTTAGATGCTTACTGCAAATTCTAAAATGATGATTCTAATCCTAGCCTGTTTCAAATATTGAATGTTTTACTTAATTTCAATCCTTTAAACATGCCTTTGTTTTATCTAAACAAATGCATATAATATTTTGAACCAAATTATCATTCCCCTTATACAATAGTCTGAAGAAAATGTGAGAAAAAGTCATTCTAAATTCTTGATTACCTCTGCATCTGGAAGCCACAGAATATGTAGGTGCACATTATCTTTAATTCTACCTCCACCTGCAAGGCAAAACTTATCATTCCTTCTTCATTTGTGCATACTTTCCTTTAGTTTGCTGTTATCAGAGCTTGCTTTTGTCTTCCTTCTTAGCTTCTTGTTGTAAATTGAATTTGCCATCACATCCTAAGGAATGTAGCATGGCATTAAAATTTTAGGGAAGAAACTCTGCCCTCTGACCCCATTTTTATGACTATTTTGTCAATTAACTTTTATAATTTTTAACTTTCTCTGTCTCTCCCTTTCAGTAGGCTTCTTGGAATTAGGGTTTCTCATCTAAGTCTTGCATCAGAAATACTGTGGTTTTGATTTCAGTGATAAAGGCAAGTGACAGGTGGCAGAGAAAAGAAAAGAATTAAGACCAGAATTTATATCACAAAATTGTAATTCATATTTTTAAATTCACCATCATTTGATGTGGAGAAATTAGAGCTGGCACATTACTGGTGGGAATGGAAAATAGGACAGCCACTGTAGAAAAGAGATGATGAGTCCTTAAAAAAATACAATCCAGCAATTCCATTTCTGGGTATTACCCAAAAGAATCGAAAGTGGCGACTTGAACAGATATTTGTACACCAATGTTCATAGCAGTATTATTCATAATAGCCAAAGAGTGGAAAAAAGCAAAATGCCCATTGGTGGAGGAATTGATAAACAAAGTATGGTGTATACCTACAATGGAATATTATTCAGCCATAAAAAGGAAATTTGGACACATACTACAACGTGGATGACCTTTGAAGACATTATGTTCAGTGAAATAAGCCAGACACAAAAGGACAGATTTTGTATGATTCCACTTTTATGAGGTATGTAAAAGAATGCAGTTCATAGTAACAGAAAGTAGACAAGTGGTTATCAGGGCTTGGGGGACCTCAGGAATGGGAGTTAGTGTTTAATGGCTGTGGAGTTTCTGTTTGGTATGGTGAAAAAGTTCTGGAGATGGGTGATGATGGTGGTTGCACAACAATGTGAATGTACTTAATGCCACTGAATGGTGTACTTAAAATGATTAAAATGGCAAATCTTATGTCATGTGCATTTTACCACACACACACACAATCTTTCCCCACCACCATTTTTTTTTTCAGAAGAACTCATTGATAAATGTAGATATGGGGCAGCTGTAGGCCAGTGCATATATGTATCAACTATCAGTGTCTACATTTTGTGTGTATTGAAAAACATACCTTATTACAAATCTCATCAATTTTAGCATACAACCTTATATTACTTTGGCATACTTTTACTAGGTCCTCTTCACTGCTGAAAGAGTCTACCAATAAAAAAGTTCAGTTTTACTATGATTCTGCTATAATTATAGTGTCCTAGGCCCCATTGAGCAATGTCACACAAAGTAAGTGTTGAGTTACAGTGCACTATCTATGAAGACACGAAAGCTCTATGGAGACACTTGTTTACAAACTAGAAGATAGAAGATTGCGTTGTGAAATATTTTAAATTATTGAAGTATATTCATGGACAGATGGTAATTCTTGCCCCTAATTCATAACTGAAAAATGTACAGTAGGAAGCATAAAACTCACACCTTATAATTTACCAGTGTTAGTTAATTAACATATATACATGCATAATTAATTTAGAAACTCTCATTTTATTGAATGTCCACTTTATGTTATTGGCAATAAATATGCATAAAATTTGCCCTGGAAATTTCATATATTTGAACTTATTTTGTATTTATTCAATTTTGGAAAATATAGCCTCTTTTAAAAAGAACTGTATGTAATTTACGCCATTTCTAACAGTAAACTAATTTTTCATTCTCCTATTTGCATCACTTGTGCTCTTTTAAATGGCTTGCCAAATAGCTAAGTTATTTATTAACCTGCATCATATTTTTAGTAGATTTTTTTCAGACCCAAAAATAATGAATAAGAGAAAATCAATGGAATTGTAATAGATATGTGTGATATTGGGGGGTGGGGGTTGAGTGGGGCGGTGGATTGGGGGAGAGGAGTTGTCACTTAGAGGAGTAAAAAGTATAATTAATAATGTAAATATTTTGTAGGGTGTCAGATGGTCACATGTCTTGTTAGGGATACCACTTCATGGATGGGGTATAGGCTTGATCACTGCACTGTACACATGAAGCTGATGTTGTATAATATTGTATGCCAACTATAATTGAATATATATAGTCACGGGGCGTAGAGTATAGTGTGGGAGTGGAATCAAGGGAATTGTAATAGATATGTATGATATGGGGGGAAGAGGGGTGGTGGATTAGGGGAGGGGGTTGTCACTTTGAGGGGTAAAATGTATAACTATTGCACTGTGTTATACACCTGAAACTAATTTTTAAAAATTAAAGTAAATTTAAAAAAATACTAAAAATAATAAAAACATAAATAAATAAAAAAGATAAATGAGTTAATATAAACAAAGTGAATCATATTAGAAAATGACTTTGAAGAGATGGGTAGTCATCATAAGACAAATTGCAAAGGCTTGATAATCTTTTATGAGTGCTTCTCATATAGGTTTTTATTTGTTTTGGATCAATATCCTCTCACCTTCTCAGGAAACTTACATTATTGTTCCTTCTCCCTCTTAAATATTCAAATGCACCATCTCAGTTATTCCTAGCATTTACTATGTTCAAATCTCTTCCATAGTAAAAACAAGGACAAGTATAAACCTCCATAGAGCCTACATTCCTCTTTTTCTTCTTCCCTTTCATAGCCAGATCTCTTAGAGAGGTTATCTATAACTTATCTCCACTTACACATCTCCTGTCCAGCTCCTCCACTGCTCCAATATAACTTGTCCTTGGTCAAACTACCAAAAGAGCATTTACTGTCGTGATCAAGGATCTCCGTGTGCCTGAGGTTTTCAGTCCTTATCTTCCCTGACTTCTCAACAGTCAACACTCCCTCCTTCTTGATAGAGTTTCTTCCTTTCGCCCGACAGCATCGTATTCTTTTATTTTTTTAAATTAAAGTATATTTGATATATAATGGTATATTAATTGTAGGTGTACAGCATAGTGATTAGACATCTATATAGTAGTAGGCAACGGAGCCAGATGACAGGAGGACATGGGTCACACTGTCACTGGGGGATCGGCTGACCCTCCTCAGAGGACCCTGAGCATTGTGTTGTGGCTGTTACATCAGACCTGCAGAGTGGGCAATGCTCTGTGCCTGACAAAGTGAGAAAACACCTCTAACCACCACCCAGCTTGCTCCCCCTCACAAGATAGAGCCTTTTAAAAAGACAAAACCAGTAGTTGAAATTTTGAAAGTTGAGGGACTACCCAGAACTTTAAAAAAAAAAAATATTGAGGTCCGTGTGTAGGATTCCTTAACAAAAATCACAATCTGTCTTTTGCTCCAATCAGAGCGTAATTCAGGTAAGCAGTTCTTTTGAGGGCAGAGAAATGAAGCTGGGGATAAATGAAAACGGTTTGATTTTAGCATAGCGGTATAGAATAAAGGAGCGACTACCGTGTCCGCCAACCTCAAGCCCAGATGGAGGGAGGCAGCCTGCAGGCCAGCTGCTGTGCCTGCCTCCAAACTAAAATAGCTCGGGGTCCTCTTTTTGTTTTGATAACTTTATAATTTAAAATCAAAATTTAGAATCTAGGGATTCCCAAATCAACCAGGATAACACAACGAGGATCCATTTTTAAGCTCATCTAGACAAAGTAGTTGAAGTGTGTTTTCCTTAGGTGGTTATGTTATTGAAAAGGATAACTTCTCATAATTTAGTCTTCAGCTTGGAACTATGACTGTTTTAGGCTATCAGTTATAAACTGACATGCTAATAGCTTTGGACTTTGAAATTGAGTGAGGGTCATATTGTCTCAGCAGTTTTTCATAGCCTGTTGTTGAACTCATTATGTAATTTCTCAAGACAGCTTTGAACTTCCCTGGACTGGAGCTTTCTTCCTCTCAACTTCTGATGTCAAAGTATGCTGCATACACCTATCACATCAACTTCTTAGTGTACGTTTTTTTATTCACCTCCAATCCAGCCTGTTCTTTCTCCATTCATCATACTCACCAGGATGGCTAGTTATGCCAACAATATTTCATTTGGGAATGTCCCTTTGCAAATTTTATTAAAAGGCAGCAAGAATTCTAAACATGTTCTTCACTGTCAGTTTACACCAATCAGCCTGTCTGCACTTTTTTCTCTCTCCTGTCATTCCTTCACTTTGCTACTAAAATTTTAAAACTTCAGATTTTTAAAAATGTATTTCCCCAGCCTCTCTGTCTCTGTTTCTCTCTTCAGGACTTCGAAGAACATCTTACATTAAGACACTTGTGCTGTTTAAAATCTTTTGCAACCATGACCCAAACTGCAGCCCTGTTTTTGTCTTGATTTGTGACTTTATTTCTTTTTTAATGTATTTGTTCAATAACTATGAGCATGTTGAAAGAACTTTTTTGACTTCTTACTCCCCAAGTTCTCAAATTAATTTGCTTTATATGTACCATAGGTAAACATAGGTTCTGAGTCTTACTTTCACCTACATGCAACACTTAAAACTCTCCCTCAA